AAAAGACACCTTAATCAGTCTTATTGCTTACTTAAATAAATGTCTGTCTTGTCACCGGTACTCAACCATTGCCAGACCCTGTTAAAGTATCGGTATCATATCTACTACAGCTAACATAGCAAAGACAAAACACAGCACACTCCCCACGCCCTGTATTTCACACTCTGCAAAAAAGCATCAACAGACAAAGCCTTAAATACTTTCTGTCCTTCCTAACTTTCTCCGTATTTTACTCCCTGACCTAGAGGATTAAGATTTGGTTTCTGTGAGCAAACCTAGAAACTATTCTCTGCTACAATTCCCTGTCCCTCAACTCCTCCAAAAAAGCACAGAAATTCCTCAGCTCTTCTACAGTGCTCCCAAAAGCTAACACAGGTGTTAAGTGGCCTGTTCATCCCCACTGGCATATATATGTGTCTCCATGGGGCTCCTTGTTGCTCCACATGAGAAGAAACAAACTCTGAAAGGAGACCCACCTTTCCTTTCTCCAAGGGGAAGAAAATAAAAACCAGATCACCCAGGATTTAAAACAAGTCAAAAGTTGTCCTGATCCAGAGTAACTACAAATTCTCCAGCTGCTGCTCTGAAGCAGCACAAAATGGAAGTCAGTTACCACAAAGCATGCTCCAAGCACCTAGACATCCACTACAGAAAGACCCACCACCCCAGTGGAGCAGCAAAGCAGAGTCCAGAGATGAACGCCTGACAGGAACTGAGGCATAGACAGGGGCAAAGAGTTGTAAAGGCAGGATGGGCACAGATGGTTTCACTCTCAACAGAGCAGTTTAACAGAACAGGCAGCAAAGGACAGTAGCAGCCCCAGAGGTTCAGGAGAAGTGATGAAGTCACTCAGAGTGCACAAGGTCCCTAAGGGAGACACCCTGTTTCATACCACTCAGATCCTGCAGAATCATAGTCTCCTCTTCCTCTGCTGCACCTATCCAACACGTCACTTCATCAATAGCCTTCTTCAGCACATCCCTGTCCAGGGCACTAAAGCAGGATCAGGGGGAACGAGGCAGAGTGTGAGAAAAAGCTGTTTACAAATGGAGCCTCGTGCCTTCCTGTGGGAATGCAATAGCATCACTGCCCAACATTCACCCAACTCTCCAGATTGTATCCTGTGATCTCAGTCTTCCTTCAGACAGACCACAGCATGCTGGAACAGCTGGCAGTGAGGCATTCAGACCAATACACTTTAATATTTTGAAAAAATGTGATCTGAGTGAAGGTGAGCTGTCAATACAGTCAGTGCTGAGGATCCACGTCTCTGACTAGCGCTCACCTGCTGACTTTCCAGCTACCCTCCAAGAGATGCTGGCTAAGGATCTTCTCCTGTACCTCATTCATGTATGGAATTCCATCTTTGAGGAACTGAGGGGGGAGGGGAAAATGCCAGGTTAGTTACTCTCCTCTAGACTTTCTTGCAGCAAATTAGGGAATAGCAGGTTAGCCAGGTTCAAAACTGGCATATACTTAGAAGATGCTGGTGTTCCTCATTCTCAGAATATCCGCTTCAAAAATACAAATTGTAGGCAACGCAAGATGCGTTCTTACATATGGGAAGACGTGTTTATGTATGGAGGAAAGAAAAAGATTTTTGTCGACTGTAATCAGGTTTTTTTGCTCTGCTTTTACCTTTCCTTTAATGACATACTTCAAGTGTCGAGATATCACAATTCCTGTCCAAAATTGCTAAACAGTGCTCTTATGCGATGACATAGTCTGAATTTTATGGGAAATGTGGCAATATATAAGCTGCAGGTAAACTTCCCCACCTTCATGGCTAATAAAGACTCCCACTGGGTTCTGTTTAGTAATGCCTCAGCTCACCAGAGACAGGTTTTCTTTTTTTGAGGTGGGGAAATCTGTCTTAGACTGACAAAGATGTGGTTATCACCTCTATGGCCGTTCAGAAAAACCAGCACTTGCTCCCCCTGTTGATAATGAACCACATGATGCATTCATGCTTTAGTAAGATGCTATTTACCCTGGAAACATAGCATTTAGGGATACTAATCCTAATTTGTCCTGTAATTGCACAGAATTCCTCTGTTCTAGATTTCTGGCAGAGATAACATACCTTATTATAGTCAAAGCCATAATGAGACAGGAACTGAATGCTAGATGCAGAAAGGGTGAATTCGACATCTGTAACTCCCAGCATTGAGGGAAAGAGAAAAAAGTTGTACGAATGCACCATATACCTACAATGAAAAGAAAAATCTCTCTAGAAGATAATTACAAGAAATAACTCCTCCCAAGAGAATTCTGCATAAAATCTCAACTGCACTGTCTTCATTATAACAGAAAACTGCTTTTTTACTTACTTGTTTGAATTTTCATTTGAGAATATTGCCAGCCCTGCAAGACAGAGAGAAACCTCCATTGAAATGGCAATGTTTAGCTGGGTGTCTACAGATACTGTGAAAATTAGGTAAGGGATGTGGGGATCCCCTGATGCAGTATGTGTTTTCCACTTACTAAAGCCACAGTGCAAATCTTAACAGCAACTGCTGGACTACTCCCGAGCTCCCTGAGAGCTAAACAGGGACAAGCTTCTAGTGCCAAGTGGGAAAAGGACTCAAGCCTGATTAAATAGCAAATGGATTGAGCAACAGGTGAGAAGAGGCAAGTCGGTGATGAAAATCTCCAACTATGCATACACAAGTCTGTGGGTCCAACTACACTCCAAAAGCATTTGGAAGGAGCTAGGAACCACAGAGGACTGAAACATGTTTTTTACTACTTAGGTTCCTTTTTTTTCTATTAATCCCTAAAATGCCTAAGGCTTTGAACAATATTTTAAACAGTTTTGGAGCTGGTTTCTTGACCTCTGACTGGTTCTTAACTGTCAATAGCACTTCACCACCACTACAGGCCTGTACTTGGGTTGATTTTTTAATTATTTTTGGAATATCAGAAATACTAGCCTTTTCCTCTCTGATAGTCACCTTACTCATACACTGTATCAAATGACACAGCCATGAATAGGAGCTGCTGTCACCTATTTCTTGCTTGCACCCTCTGTTTTAAAAGCCCTGTATTTGTAGCTGCAATCTTTAAATATGAACAATTTCAGACCAGCAAAAAGTATACAGCCCACCTGATTTTAAGTTATTTAAAATACTAAAAAGTTGTTAGTATTAAACTTCAGAGGGGGAAAAAACCAAAAACCAACAACAAAAAAACAAACTACCGCAGCAAACAAATGGCTCTGTAATGAGTGAACCAAGAGCAGAGCTACCCGCAGGGCTCACCAGTTGGCAAAAGGCCAGTTACCACTGGGACCTTGGGAAATTTTTTTCTGTGTCAGAACAGCACTTACCAAGCTGAGTAACAGTGAAGCGCTGAACGCTCTGCCTGGCCTTCAGGTACCGCTCCGCAGGGGAATCAAACAGGCTATGAACAAAACCAGAATTGGGGGAAAGGGAATGGAAACAAGAAGGTTTGCAAGGCACAGCTGTTCTCACAGAGCTAGAGCAGCAAGCCTCCCCCACATTTCAAGTCCAACAGCTTTACCTGGGCTGGTTATTTTGTGGGAAAGTTGAATGTAAGCCAGTAAACTCCATATCAATGGCTGTTGAGGTGGAAAGAACACCAAAAAAAATTAAATATGAAGCACGTGTTCCACCAGCCTCAGGTCAAGGGTTTCCGAAACACCTCTGTCCACCGTAACCTCTGTGTCAAACCCAGTGGCAGCAAGCTCAAGAGAAAAGGCAACCGACTGCTGTGGAGTCTGCTGCTCCCTCGTCCCTGTGGCAGGCTGAGGTAAGCCAAACACCCCCCCGGGAGGACCCCGACTCACCCTCTGCAGGACGTGTGCGCCCCCCCGGCCCATAACTAACATCCAGAGCCCCCAACCCGCCCAGCCGCGGCCAGCCCCGCAGCCAGGGCTCCCTTTCCAACCCTCGGCCGCCCGTGTCCTGCCTCAGCCTTCGCTCTTCTGGTGCGCGCCAGCGCCATCACCTGCTAAAACACACCTCAACGCCCGCGGCCGCCTCGCCCCCTCAGCGGGCAAGGGCCTCGCCGCCCCGCCTCAGCCACCGCAGG